TCTCTCTCTCTCTCTCTCTCTCTCTCTCTCTCTCTCTCTCTCTCTCTCTCGTGGAAGCATCGGCAGGGACTGTGTCTAAAGGGGATGACGGTATTCTCTCCCTCCGCATCGTCACCCCATTTGCCGGCTTCGCGCTCTTGTTTGTTTCGTAATCTTTAAGATCGGAAGGGTTCGAAGCCTCCCTCGGCTTCGAAGCCGGCAATCTATTGTCCAACTCGCCACCTTTCCCTCGATACTCGATCGACGAGATCGGCTCGTGATATTCCGCGAGTAGCCGCAACGATCGCGCGATTGCGATCACGGGGGATAGGAAATTTCCCTCCCCTCCTCTCCCCGCCGTATAAAAAGTTTCCGCGACGAAGATAACTTTCAACGCGGCGGACGATTCATTTCCACGGGAGGAAACTTCTTGCGGGGAACGAAGGGAGGCGAAGTAGTAAGAAGCGGACAGAAGTGATTAAATATTATGACCGGGGGGGAAGGGGAGGGGCGCGATCTTCGAAAACTGCGCGTATCTGCGAAAAACGTTACTTAGGATAATTAAAAAGAGTTTTTCCCGGGCGATGGAAACACAATTTTCCCATTCGAGTGCGTTGATCGCGTTAATCCCGTCACGGGCAAGAGCTACGTGCCTCGTTTCGCTGTGTCGTTGCTCGTCTATTACATTCCCCGTAATAAAAAAATTTTCAAATAATCCGGGGAAGAGAGACGAGCTCTTCTTTCGAAAAACTCTTGTTTCGAATCGAATTCTCGATAGAAAGAATCGAAAGTTTGCGCGATTCTTCGCGATCTTCTTACGATTAAATGAAACGGTCAGAGAGCAAATTCTCGGAACGATGAAAATGTCTCGCATGTACGACGATATCGACATTGGGTTAGAAACGAGGATCCGTTACCGTCACCGAGAAACGACCATCGTCACGAGGGATGGTACATCCACATCCCATCCTCCGGGTTACGCGAAAAATTTACACGCTTCTTTCATTTTCTTTAACATCCAATTATAATTAAACTTAAACTTCTTCTCCACTTGCATCGTTGATGCTTGTTCCGATTTCGTTCGACAATTATTACGATGTCCATTCGTATGGAAATCGTATCGTCGCTTCTGGCAATTACAAGAAATCGAGAGGCCGCGTGTGGAGAGTTACTGGCCAGGGGTTGGTACGCGACCGCTCCTTAATCAGGGTAGTTCCGTTACCCCCTGTCCCTCGCAGTCGTCATCGTCCCTGACCAAGAACGACCCAAGAGAGCCGGGAGCCGGAAGCGATCCCAGGGTCATTTCCATTCGCTCCTTGCAAAGTGGTATCATTTCCCAAGGGGGTGGGGATCCGTCGGTCTTCGAGGCTCTCTCCACAGCTGCCCTTTCGCTCGATCGGGTTCCGTGGCTGAAAGATCGATACACGCCGCGGAAGTGAACAATCCGCGGCAAAAGTCATTGTTGATAATGGAATTGTCTTGGACGCGGGGAACGACATCCTCCACCAGAGAGAGAAGGAACCAGGGTTCTTCTCCGAAATGCGATCTTCCGCCCGGAACTAACTACGAACGATGTAATTTTTTCCTCTTCTCTCAAATTCAACCCGCTGGAATTATATCCTGGCCGATTTGCATGGAAATGGGATGTGTCCCGTTTCGCGAATCTTGAATCAAGGTGGACGAAGGAAGCGAAGGAAATTATAAAAACTAAGGCATAGGTTAAAGATAGGGGGTGGAAGAAAAGCGATAGGGGTCAAGGAGGACAGTTTCGAGAATTGCGAGGCCTTCCGCTAGTGACAGTTTATCAAATTGCTGGGGTGCCCCTAAAGGGATGTAAGGGTCGTAAGGTGGAACGTGGTCGGGGGCGGCTTATTAGAGCCACGACAGCGGCCCCGGCTCCACCTTGAAACCTCCAACCAACCGCCATCCCGCCGTGAGTCTTACCACCTTGCTTCCTTCCATCCGCCCTGCCTGTCGCCTTCCTATCTTCAACCCCGCTCCGCTTCCCTCCCCCACCCCTCTCTCGCCATCTCTTCCTTCTACATAGTTCAGGCAGCGTAGTAGAGACGTGGCTCGACATAAAGGGTCGCCTGGGACCATCCTCGTGCTTGCTCCTCGTCTTTAATCTACGAGGTCACCAAGCAACGACGACTGCCACCATCCTCCTCCTCCTCCTCCTTCTCCATGCCGAGCAAATGAGCACGGCCTCCGCGAGGCTGCGTTCGAAAGATTTCGAGCGTTGAGCCAGATTTAATATTACGGGTCTCGGAACAGGGATAGAAATCCGCTTCTTTTTCTTCTTCTTCTTCTTCTTCTTCTCGCGAAAACGAATTAAACGAATTGAACGAGAGGGGGAAAGTTTTGAACGGTATTCTTTGTATTCTCTCGTTTTTAAACTCGTCGTTTCAGTACGTACTCGATACGTGATATAGTTGAACGTGTGTGGATTTGAACGGTGAAGAAAGTATCGACGCACGGGTCCCGGGGGATTTGTAGTTCTTCACGCAACAACGGGGCCGGG